CCTCCGCGGGAGACCCCGACTCAGCCTCCCCAGGAGACACCGACTCAGCCTCCGCCGGAGACCCCGACTCAGCCTCCGCAGGAGACCCCAACTCAGCCTCCGCAGGAGACCTTAACACAGATTCTGCACAAGACTCCAGCACAGCCGCTGCAGGAAACTCTAACACCGCCTCCACATGAGCTTCCAGCACAGCCTTTGCAGGAAATTGCAATACAGACTCTGCAGGAAACTTCAACCCAGCCTGTGCAAGAGACCCTAACCCAGCCTCTACAGGAGATCCCAACTCAACCTCTGCGGGAGATGCCAGCTCAACCCCTGTGGAAGACTGTAACCCACCCAAACCAGAAGACCCCAACTTTGCCTCAGCCAAAAACTCCAACTCAGCCTTGGCAGAAGACCTCAACTCATCCTCTTCTGAAGCCCTTAAGTCAGCCTCACTGGAAGATTCTAACTCAATCTCAGTGGAGGACCCCAACTCAGACCCCACAGACACAGTTGGAGCCTGAGGCTAAACCTCCAACATCAGGCTATCAGCCAATGTCAAGGAATACAAAGACTGTACCTGGTGCCATCCTGAAGACTACTAGTACTCTTCCTCCAAAACTCACTACGGTGCCACTTCCACATCCCTATAGGTTTGGGACTCAACCTCCAACCCTGATTCAAGGCACAGTTAAAACTTTGAGTCAGGAACAGGAACAACTTCCTAATAATCAGTTAACAACATCCACCACAGAAAATGCTTTAGCTGTGCAAACAGAACAGAAGGCCCCTCCAAGCATCAGCTTATGTGAGCTCTGTCACTGCCAAGACCAGACACTGTCATGTGTGGATCTCAGCCCAAGTCAGAGGCTCCGCCAAGTTCCTGTGCCAGATATCGACCCCAAGAAACAACTTTTCACTGTCTTGCAAGTATCCCCCTACCTCCTTTGTGCTGGGCATTCTTTTCTCAAGGTCTTCCTCCTCTCTCCAATCCAATCTTGAATAATATTTACTATTTTTTTTCTTATTTTTTTGGGGGTGGTCGTGGGGCTTGAACCCAAGGTCTGGGTGCCATCCTTGAGCTCTTTTGCTCAAGACTAGCATTTTACAACTTTAAAGCACAGTGTCACTTCCAGTTTTCTAGTGGTTAGTGGGGATAAGAATCTCATGGGCTTTTCTTCCCCTGGCTGGTTTCAAACCAAGATCTTCAGATTTCAGCCTCCTTAGGATTAGGAATACAGGCATGAGCCACCTGTAACCTGGCTGGCTCTTCAACTTGTCACTTCACCTTCCTTGTTCTCATCTTCCTATTGTATCCATTTGCCAAGCTTTTATTTGAGGTTGCTCTTTGTCTGTTTCCAAGAAGATTCTGAGTCACAGAAGTTCCATGGGAATACAAAATGGTAGTACAATTCTCTAAAAAGAACAACAGAGAAATCACTGACTGATCAAATGTGGGCATGAGTGTACCAAACAGGACTCCACACTTTTGATCCTCAATAAACCTGACAGTGATAGAAACAGAGTAGTCAGGAAGGAAAACCAGTTTGTGAGAAAGGAGTTCAGCTTGGAACATTTTTATTGGTAAACAGTCAGAAGGCTTGCAGTTAAATGGAAAAGTCTACTAGACAGATGAGCAGACTTAAATCTTCTCTACTCTGCTACCAGACAAAGTATATATGAACTGAGCAAGAGAGTTATAGCAAAGACTAAGGACAGATTAAGGTATCTCAGTAGCTTCTAGTAAACATGCGCTTTTGCCAAGCAATGGTGGCTTACACCGGGAATTTAGCTACGGGAACAGGCTCAGATCTGAGGACCAGGATTTAAAGCAAATCCTATTTGGAAAGTTTGTGAGGCTCTTAGTTCAAATTAAACACCAACAAGCCAGAAGTGATAGAATACCATCCTTAAGCAAGAAAACCACAGAGACAGGGCCCAGGCCCTAAGGCCACGGACAAACAGAGGCAAAATATTTTATTTTTCAACCCACATTTGTTTACTTTCTGTTTTCTATTTTTTGTTCTTTGGGTGGACAATGAGGCTTGAATTCAGGGCCTGGGAATTGTCCCTGAGCCCTTTTGCTCAAGTGGATTCTAATACTTTGAGCTAACGTGCTACTTCTGGTGTTCTGGTAGGTAATTGGAGACAAGAATCTCACAGAGGGTTGGGAAGGTGGCTCACTGGTGGTAAAGTGCTTGCCTCACATGCATGAAGCCCCGGATTGAATAAATAGGAAAAGCCGAAATGGCGCTGTGGCTCAAGTGGTACAGTGCTTGCCTTGAGCTGAAGAGCTGAAGGACACTGCCCAGACCCCAAGTTCGAGCCCCACAACCAACAAAAAATTTTTTAAAAAATTAAAACTGAGGGGCTGGGAAGGTGGCTCAGTGGTAGAGTGCTTGCCTTGCATGCATGAGGCCCTGGGTTCGATTTCTCAGCACCACATAAGCAAAAAGAAAAAAGCCAGAAGTGGTGCTGTGGCTCAA